TATAATTCGATTCAATGTGCGATTCATAATTTCGGCGTTGTTTGATGTGGTTTGAAGCCTTGACTAAGTTCGTATTATATTTTGGGACATGTTGGTATAATTGGTTGAGGTCCCGGAGGCCTCGGGTGGATTTCAGAAGGTTAACGGAGCAATTCAGACTTGGAAGAAGTTGTTGGAAAATGGCAGCAACTGTTGGAATCGCACCTGCGGAATTTTGGGCGCAGGTGCGACCTCGCAAAAGCGAGGATTTCATCGCAGAAGCGAGCTGGGCAGAGCTGGAGGAATATCGCAGATACGGACAGCCTTCCGCGCCTGCGCAATCGCAGGTGCGATGTTTTCTATGCAGATGCGACGAGTCAGCGCAGAAGCGGAATTTGCTGCGCACCTGCGATCATCGCAGATGCGCATCTTGTCTCGCAAAAGCGAGGCCGCAGATGCGGAAAATTAGTCCGCAGGTGCGAAACTGGGCAGAATGTTAAGGACCAAAAATGGTCATTTTGCCATTTTTCAATTGAGATTTTGGAGCTCGGTTTTTGGGAGATTTTGGAGCAGTTCTTCAAGACTTTGACTTGGGTAAGTGTTCTATATCCTAAAGTGATTATATTTCATGAATCTATGATTATATTGATCGTTTAATTCGGATTTAAATGGAAGAAATCAAGATTATTACAAAATCTTCCAAAAACGAAAATTTAAGATTTGGAAGTCGGGTTTTTATTGGAATTCAATAAAATTGGTATGGTTGAACTCGTATCGGAATGAGTGTTCGGATTTCATAAAAATTATGTCAGGTTCCGAGGGGGCGGGCCCCGCGTTGACTTTTTGGAATAAATTTTTAAGTCGACGTATTATTATCCGGAATTGTTTCCGATTAATTTTAATGAAGTTATACAATTATTTGGATAGATTTGAGCTGTCCGGAAGTTAATTCAAGCAAGAAGGCTATTTTGGAATATCGGCCTAACTTCAAAAAGGTAAGTGTCTTGCTTAACCTCGAGTGGGAGAATTATCCCTTGGGCATTGAGTCTTATGTGCCATTTGTAAAATGTGAAAAGCCGTGTACGCGAGGTGACGAGTACGTACTCGGGCTTATACGTACAAAATTCATTGAAATAAAGTCTTAGGCATTATTGTGTAGTAAATTGGGAAATTATGAAAAATTATTAAATCATCTATTTGCCATGCCTAAATCCTTATTGTTGAATTTATTTTTATATGATAATTTGATGTGATTGTTACTTGAAATATTTATAAAATTTCGTGAGTATTGTTGGTTTAATGTTTCTTAGAAATAAATTCCATTATGAATTTTCTTATGCAAATAATTAATTTAAGCGAGCTTAAGAAGAAGTGTTAATATAATTATCTAAATTTGCAATAATGAAGGCTTTGCTTTATACTGAGTAATTTCTATCTCTATTGATTATTTTTGGGTATTTTATACATTGTGTGGAGCCTTAGGCTATTGGTTGTAAAATTAATTGATTTTGTTATATCTTTGGAATTTGGTTATGGCCATTGGATAAATTGTGTTATGAATTGATTTTATTATGTTGCCGTGTTAATTTTTCGTGTAAATTATTGTGTTGCGTGAATTATTATTTTGGGGAGATAAATGTGGCATTTCTCCGTTGATATTATGTGGGTATAAGGGTGGCATTTCACTGTTGTTGTATTTGTTGGAATATTGTTTGGGCGGAGCGATAAGGGTGGCTATAGGAGCGATAAGGGTAGCAATATGATAGATAATAGTGGCTATTGATATTGTCTGGGCAGAGCGATAAGGGTGGCTATAGGAGCGATAAGGGCGGAAATATGAGCGATAAGGGTGGTTATTGTCAGGGACGATATGTGATGATGTGGGGTTGTGGTGTTGATAGATTTCATGTGATGTTGTGATTTGCTTGTGTTTATTTTTATACCTTGTGCAATTTGTCTTGTTGTTGGTAAATTGATAAAAATTTGATTTATGTTGAAATTGAGAGCATGCGGCTATTGCTAGGCGGATTATAAAATAAAATGTGGGCACGAGGTGTCATGAGTAAATAATGAGGATATTTGGTACGTAAATTGTCTGTGCAGTTGTGATATGAAATGTGGGCACGAGGTCTTGTGATTAAATGATAATGATAATTGGCACGTGAATTGTCCGTGCAGTTGTGATATGAAATGAGGGCACGAGGTGCCCGAAAAATATGATGATTTAATTATGGGCACAAGGTACCGTGGAAATATGAAAATGGGCTGAGACTCGTATTTTTATGATTATGAAATGAGGTGTCACATGATGACTTTTTAATTGAAAGAATTATATTCAAAATATTTATTTGGAAGGATTTTTATTCAAAAATAATTATATGAAAGAATTATATTTGAAAGATATTTATTTGAGGAAATTATATTTGAAAAGATTTATTGATAGAATTATATTTGAAAAATAATTATTTGAGAAAACTACATTTGAAAGAGAGTTATTTGGAATAATTATTTGTGAAGGATATTTATTTGAAAAACTTGAATTAATTGGTCATACATGTATTTATTAATTGTTGAGTGAAATTTATGGTATTCTTGTTGTCTTGCTGCGCATACCACTGGTTGTTTTATCCTGCCCTTATTGCTATTTGTTTCCTAGTATTTTGTATATTATATTGCACAGGTTATTAGACTAGTAAGTGTCTTGATTGTACCTCATCTCTACTCCATTGAGGTTAGTCTTGATACTTACTGAGTACCGACCGTGGTGTACTCATACTACACTTTTGCACATTTTTGTGCAGAGCCAGGTATTGGAGATATCGGACTTGAGCAGAGTTAAAGCGGGATCGTAAGGATTCAAGGTAAAGTTGCTTGGCCGTCACAGTCCCTTGGAGTCTTTTCATTTCATTGTACTGTTAATTTGTAATCAAACAGTATTGTATATTCAGTCCTCGTGATCCTTCCATGTATTCAGTTAGAGTTCGTGACTCAGCACTACCAGTCTTGGGAGGTTGTATATTGTAATTATTTCCGCTGTTAGTTTCAAAAAAAAATGACTTCAAAAAGTAATTAAAATTGGCTTACCTAGTCTTAGAGACTAGGTGCCATCACGACGCCTGTGGTGGGATTTTGGGTCGTGACAGTTCTCCATCAGCGTGCTCCAATGATCGTAATGACCATCGAAGCGAGGAATGGCGGGTTGAATAAAATTTTCAGAAGCCATCGTCTTGCAGTTGCAATAATATTGCAGAATAGAAACTCACAGTAAGCAGTACCCAACACTCGGACTCGATCTGCCGAACTCTCAACCTGGCTCGGATACCAAATATTAAAAATTGTCAGTAGCATATATGAGAAAGCAACAGACAATGAAAGTACTTAATTGACTTGAGTAATATATCAAATACATCAGACACTTTAAATAGAAGAAAACTAATAACTGAAGATGTCCATGACTCCTAAATAAAAGAGGAAACTACTCCACTAACCTGACCATAAACTCCACTAGCACATGTAGCCTAAAGACTAGGAAACTACGTACTAATTTAACCGCTGCCTACATTACATCAGTAAATAATTAACACGTTAACAAATGAGCTAAACGACCTACAAAGCCAAATTGCCAACAAGGCTTTTGTATTTAAATTGGTTAAAAAATAAATAGAGAAAACCTAACATAAACGGTCTGACAGAAATTTTAGTCGGTAAATGTTTTCATTTACATGTAAAGGTAAATAAAAATAAGCTAGCGGGAATAAATTTTGAAAGAATTGATTTTTGTTTGATCTTTTTTTTTTTTTTTTTTTTTTTTTTACTGAAATAGGGTAAATAAATTAAAAACAAATAAGCGGCAATGATTTCATGGGAATGTTATTCTTTAATCATGAATTTCATTTATACTAAAAGAAGGTAAAATGAGAAATAAAAAACAAATCATAGGGCATGGTTTGTTTGTAATAGTGGTGACAACATGGTTAAAAGAAAACAGTTAATCACCCATATTATTCATCAAAAAATAGGTTGGATAATGAATTTTTTAAAAACGAGTCAAATATGGATAAGAACCATATTATTTATTTAGAAAATGGATAACTAATGTGTTTAATTTTACATTTGTGAAGCCACAAATGGGAGGTTTCTCAAGTTTGGGAGACTAAGCTAGCGTTTGGCCATAGATTCCTAAATTTGTTTTACAAAATCTTATTTTGGTGAAGTTTGGTTTGAAGATGAAAATTTGTTTGGACATAATTTTTTGAAATATATTTTACTTTTTTTTTTGAAAAACATGAAATGTGACTTATACCCATAAGATTTAAAAACTATCAAAAATACCCAACAACTCTGAAGAAAATTCATACAAAACAAGCGAAATAAATCTGAAAAAAATTTATACAAACATTAGCAGATGTTAGCAAATTACCTTCAAATTTTGTCTTTGCGGGTGCATTGCCACAACAACTTTGGCGAAGGTTTTCTTCTATTTATAGAGAAGGGAAAAGCCGCGTGAGTTTAATGAGGAAAAAGTGGGTAAATATGAATTAGTTTGGTCATAATAACAATAAGTTAATTTTTTTTTATAAAATACAAAAGTTTGGGGCAATTTTTTAATTTTTTTAAAAACCAAACGGTAATATTTTGGGCCAAAGACAGCTCTTGAGCTGGTTTTGGGATTTGGAAATTTGCCAAAATATGTATAAAATTTATAAACAAACAGGTATTTGCCAAAAAAATTGCAAAGTTTTTGGCAAATCTATGGCCAAACAAGGGCTAAGAATTCTCTCAAAAGTGATCATATTCAAAAAGTCATGGATAATATAGTTACCCTAACCATATTATCCACCGATTAACCTATTTTTTATCTGTATTAAATATGAGTTGGATCAAATAGTTTATCTGTTTTTTATTACCTTTCGATCCGTCTTATATCCGACTCGACCCGACCCGACGGCTTGCCACCCCTGATTTGTTCATTTATACTAAATGAAACAAAGTCTTTACTATACCATTAAAAATACCGTCATAAGGAGTCCACCTAATTTCCCCAAGGTCCAACGAACAGTACGTTTTTCGTGTCAATTGCTCCGCTTTACAAAACCCTTCTCTATTTACGGCGATCCCCTTTTCAACAACATTTCACCCTCCATTGAAAGCAGCCGCCATGACTACTCTCCGCATTGTAGACAACGAGGAGCAAGACAACCGCTACGACCTCTTTGACGTTTACTTCCACAGCGACACAATCAAAACAACAGTCACTTCCGATCCGGACATCGTCACTACGTGGATCTCCGAAACCGAATCCTCTATCCACGACCGCCGCCATCTCGTCGTTGGACTTGACGTCGAGTGGCGGCCCAGTTTCCACCGCAACCAGCAATTCAAAGTCGCAACTCTCCAGCTCTGCGTCGATCGCCGTTGCCTCATAGTCCAACTCCTCTACTGCAGTTCAATTCCAGATTCCCTCGTTAGTTTTCTGTCCAACGGAGACTACACGTTTGTTGGGGTTGGAGTTGAGAACGATGTGGAGAAGTTGGTGGAAGATCACGATCTAAGCGTGAGGAATATGGTGGATCTGAGAGTTTTGGCAGCTGATGCATATGAAATGAGTAATTTGAAAACTGCTGGGTTGAAGGAGCTGTGCAATGTTGTTCTTGGAAGACAGATTGAGAAGCCTAGAAGTATTACTATGGGTAGGTGGGACAGTGAGTGGTTGAGTTTGGATCAAATTCAGTATGCTTGTGTTGATGCTTTTGTTTCTTTTGAGATTGCAAAGCATTTGAATGTTGGTACTAAACCTTGATATTTTGGGTGGTCTTAAGGAACGAAGAGAAAAAACAAACAACTTTACTGGGTGAAGATTTGGTTTGATATAGTTAATTGAGTGGTTATAGCTTCTGGATTCTTGGTTTTCATAGTATGTTAATTGGGTGAAGATTTAGAACTTTTTTTATGTCAAGAGTTAAGTTATATGCACGATGGTGTAAAAAAATTATATAAGTATGAGTTGTTAATCTGGTAGAAATGATACTAATTGAAATATTATAACATATTAAAATTCAATCTGTTTATTTTCTTGACTGACTAAGGGTTTTCCCTTTTCTTTTTTTGTCAAGAATGTTCTCCTTCTAGAGCTCATTTTTGTGATTTTTGATGAAGTAAAACCTGATGATTTAATTAGTGTTAAAGCACTTTTTTCTTGAAACGATTTATTTTGATTCAGATGTTGTAATAATTGAGCTTCATATCAACTGAAGCAGGAGAAATTACAATCTTGCAATCCTTAACTTAGGGAAAATAGGACTGAAAAAGTGAAAATAGAAAAGGGAGATTCCAGACTGCTAAACTTTAGCTTAAAAAAAAAAGATAAACATGCAAGTTCTTCCATTCCCTGTTATAGCTTCAAGTTCTTGTGGTTGCTTCCCTTTTATAGCTTCAAGTCATCATCCAGATTCAGGCAGGTTCTCACTCACAATCTGCTAATCTTTTATTGGGCTGTCCAGTCTTTTACTATATCTTAATTATAAGGATTTTCCTTGTATATTCTATATTATAAATTATATTACATGATTTAACTGAAGTTTGCTAATTGTCAAAACTAACTAGTGTTTTTTTTACAATGTGTATACATTTTTTTCTTAAAAGGCTCTCAAACCTATTAGTTTCTTCAATTAAGGTAGAGGTGGTAAATGAGCGGATTGGATTAAATTTGGGCAGATAAAACGGGTCAAATCAAAAACTAGGTCAAAACCTAACCCACCAGTAATTGCTTGGGTCAATATGGATAAAATAACCAGTCATAGCCCAACCCGTCCAATATAACCCAGACTGAATGATCAAGATTTGAATGATTCTGATTCAAACTTAAAAACCAAACGCATTTAATGTTTGATATCTAAATGATTAAGATATAGGCCTTCATTAAATGCAAACAAATGAGGCCTAAATGTGTTTCACATAGTTACTACAGTGATATAACTCTATTATTATGGAACCAAAAAAGTACATAATTCAAAGTATTTTAGACTTGTATCAATAAAGAATACCACAGTAATATATAACTTGTACTCTTCTCATGCTTTGCAGGTAAAACTTTGGCCAAATATATAGACGGTCCCTTAAAGGTGATTCCAAATTCCATTTTAACACTTAACTTAGTTTGTTTCCTATTAAACGCTTAATCTTAACACAAATTGTGTCTATTAGACACAAATGCTGAGGTGGCAAAGTGAGTATATCACACTTTTTTTTGAGAGCGTGAATACAAAATATTGAGTGTCAATTGAAGATTAGCCTATATTTTTTCTTCCATCTCCTTTATCTAGCTTCTCTGTAGATATCACCCCACCACCCACCTCCATAGCCAATGTCTTCATCAACACCTCATTCCCACCTCTACCGTTTTGGCCAATTCTCCACATGTACTTTCACAGCATAAGCACCTCACCGAACTGTTACTGTAAAAGTCACTTCGAACTCCACCACCTCTCCACCATTAGAAACAAAACTTCGCATCATAATATCAAAACTCCACAACTTCTTCAAACAATTCCAAACCAGATACACCCAAATTCGCAATTTCAAGCCGGTAATTTATAAATTTCTCATTAAAGAAGAAATCAAAACACCAACATAATAATATCCAGATGAAATTGAAAAGGAAAAATAAAAATAACATAGGATAAAGAATTGAAATAGAGGATAAATTTCTTCAAGGGTTGACAGAGAAAGGGGCAGAGTGATGACTGGGAGGGGTTCATTTAGAGAAGAAGACGATGTGAGAGGCGAGGTGGAGAAGGAAAAAAGTTTATATTTCTTTGGGGGTATATTGTTAATATATTATTTGGGTTAAATACAGGTATTGTTATTTGATTTATTTTTTTTTGCCACGTCATCGCGTTTGACTTCACGCTGTTACTTTTGTTTACCGGTGGTTAGACGATGGCCTAATAGGCACAATTTATGTTGGGATTAAGTGTTTAATAGGAAATAGTTTAAGTTGAGGTGTCAAAATAAAATTTGGAGCCAACTTTAAGGGCCTCTATGTATTTGGCCTAAAACTTTTAATATTCAGACAAAATACATCACACATACCAGAAAGATCCAAAACTAGAATGAAGTGCAAATAAATTTTTAGTTTTACAAAACACATGTCAAATGGGATAACTAGATCAACCAGCTAAGAAATCTAATTCCTTGTAGTCTGATATCACTAAAACTAAGATGTCTAACGGTAGTTTTCAAAGCAAACAACAAATGTCTTAATATTAAAGTTGGTATTTGTCTTCTTTAATTTTGCTCCATAATCTTCTCGTTTTCTACATTTCGTGCTGAAGCACCTTGCTCCAAAATATCATGTTTAGCCCCCACTTAGATTCTACATTTAGTGAAAAAGATCAATATTACAAAGTGATTCACCTACTAATTATCTAAGGAAAGTTAACTCTTAAAATTAGGAACGCCAATCACAAACCATAAACTGGATGCAATCTTCTCAACATCAATTACAATAGCATCTTCGTCGGAATCATCAACAGTAATAGACAAAAAAAAAAAAGAATTGTTAAACTATAGAAAGAGAATAAGAAAAAAAAAACATAATACATACACAATTGTTTTTTACCTCCATGCCCATAAATCCAATCTTGAGTACACAACTGAGCTTCGGCATTTTCTGGTAAAATTGAACTTTGAAATTCCCCGATTACCCATCCTCCAATGCTGAAGGTTGACTCAGGTGTAACAGTACTAATAGGTATGCTTAATACATCTCGCGCCATGAACGAGAGCTCGGGATATCTATTCATGTTATCATTCAAAAATTTGAGAACATCTAGACATTCATTTTTCTCACGAACAAGTACATGTTCTTCCAAATATAACTCTAATTGTGTTTTTTCTGAACTATGTATTTAAAACTCTCTCTCCTAGGGATGACTTGAGAATCAAGCCTCACGTCTTCGTCCACTATCTGAGTCGCACCATTGAACTTGCACTCTAAGTATTCTGTCTTGGTTCTACTCAACTTGAAACCTTTAGACTCCAGGGCCTGTCTCCAAACCTGTAACCTCTCGTTAACACCGTGTCGTGTCTCGTCAATCAATATAATGTCATCTGCAGATAACATGCATCACGACACCTCCCCTTGAATGCGGCACATCAGTGCGTCGATCGCCAAGGCAAATAGAAATATGCTGAGGGCTGACCTCTGGTGCAACCCCATCATAGCTGGGAAGTGTTCCAAGTCCCCTCCCACTGTACTCACTCAAGTCTTTGCTCCATCATACATGTCCTTAATGGCCCTAATGTATGCAACGGGAACACCTCTAGCCTCCAAACATCTCCACAAAACCTCCCTTGGCACTTTATTGTAAGTCTTCTATAAGTCAATGAACACCATATATATGTAAATCCATCTCCCTCTCCCTATACTGCTACATCAACCTCCTAACAAGATGAATAACTTCTGTAGTTGAACGTCCCGGCATGACTCTGAACTGCTCTTCAAAATAGTCACAATTCTTCTCAACCTCAGCTCCATCACCCTTTTTTAGACTTTCATAGTATGACTTAGTAACTTGATGTCCCGGTAGTTGTTGTAACTTTGGATATCACCCTTCTTCTTATACAACGGGATCATCGTACTCCATCTTTATTCTTCGGGCATCTTCTTCATCCTTAAAATGACAAATTAAATAACTCAGTGAGTCACTCCAAGCCCGCTATACCCACGCTCTTTCAAATTCCACAGGGATCTCGTCTGAACCGGTCGCTCTCCCCCTGCTCACCTTACGCATAGCTCCCTCAACCTCATCGACTCTTATACGCCTATAATACCCAAAGTCCCGACGACTCTCGGAGTGCTCTAATTCACTTAGCTCAATGTTCCTATCCCCCTCTTCCTTCAAGAATTTATGGAAGTAAGTCTGTCATCTTCGTCGAATAAATAATTGATGTAAACGAGTATCATAATGTGAATTAGTGGATTTAGTGGATTCCGAGTTTAAAAAAAAACAACCCAAACTAGTACCTGGTATTGGGTTGGATTAACTTTCATAACATTCTAACTGTATTAATAGATAGAGTATATGTACAAATGTGCCACACCTATTAAAAGAACAGAAATATAGGTAACGAAATAAAGATGCTGCTATTTCCCCTGTTCTGTATTCATTTCTCTCTAGAACTAATACTACTATCAGTTAAACGTTATTCAAAATCCTGCTTATGTGTACAAGGATTTTTTCAAGAAATCAAACAATATAAAACTCCCAAGGTGGTTAAGAAACTTTACATGATCCGTGTAGAATATCGTGTGGTTTAATTTCGGGAAGAGTCCAATAAACCTAAGCTACAAATTTCAGACCCCGGTGGAGCCTCCCATTGAGCTGTCTTGTTCTTCATCTCAGCAAAATCGTTCACACACTGATCCAATTCCAAACCTTCAATTTGGGTTCTAGCTGCAGCAAGTTTTTTACCAGCCACTCCATCAAATATTTTCTCCCACCCGCTCTCCCATTCAGTATGAGCATCACAGAGCTCGAGCGAGTTATTAGCCCAATCCGTCCAACTCCATCCTTTATCTAGTCCATTCATGACTTGCTCAATGCATGAGCCGGTGCATGCAGGCTTGCAAGGCCGGCACTTGGCCCCACTTAAAGGGCCTCGACTAGAAAGCGCTGCAACCGGAACACCATAATGGGAGGGTGGATATTCGTATTGACGATCCGTCACAACGCAAAAAGGTAGGCGCATAGTTTGGTAGGGAACTTGTTCAGTGGTAAGTTGGGCTCTGAAGGCAGTTTCTGAGTTGAGGAGACGATATCCTGCTGAATCGAGTTGGGAAATCATGGAGAGCCTCGACAGAGCAACCACTGATGTATTGTAGTCGCCAACACCAAAGCGATCGTTTAAGCCACCGTAGGAGGAACCTGGAGGGACAAGGTAGTGACCGGGAATGAAGTTGTCAGGGGCTAGTTTTGCTGACCAGTAGCCATCAACTCTTGTCCGGACTATCCAGTCATAAGTGAAGTTGTTCTGCTTTTGATAGTCTTGGATCATCG